CTTCCAGACCTTCTCCCCTACCCCAAAGATGACTACTCTTCAGGTACTGCTGCACGTCGCCGCTCAGCGTGACTACGAGCTTCACTCTCTTGAGTTCAGCACAGCTTTCTTACAGGGCAGCCTGCACGAGGAGATCTGGCTGCGCCGCCCACCCGGCTTCACTAGGTCGTTTCCTGCAGGTACCCTGTGGAGCCTCCGGCGGCCAGTCTATGGTCTGCGGCACGCGAGTGGCATGACACACTGAGGACGGCGCTTTCGGCTCTTGGGTTTGCTCCTTCGACTGCCGACCCGTCGTTGTTTCTACGCACCGACACTCCGCTGCCGCCGCTCTACATCTTCGTGTACGTCGACGACTTGGTCTTTGCCGCTGCTGACACTGAGGCACTGGCCCTTGTGAAGTCGAAGCTGCAGAAGAGACACACCTACACTGACCTGGGTGAGCTGCGCAGCTATCTCGGCTTGCAGTTCACCCAGGACAGAGCACGGCGCACCATCACCCGGACTCAGTCACACATGGTGCACAAGGTCCTTCAGCGCTTCGGCTTCCGGTACTCCTCGCCACAGTCCACTCCTCTGCCTACCGGTCACTCGTTCTCAGCTCCACCTTTGGACGAGTCTGTAGAGCCGAGTGGCCCGTATCCAGAGCTTGTGGGCTGCCTCATGTACCTGATGACCTGCACTCGACCTGACCTTGCCTACCCTCTTAGCATCCTGGCACGCTACGTTGCGCCCGGGAGACACCGACCAGAGCACTGGGAGGCCGCTAAGAGGGTGTTGCGGTACTTGTGCAGTACTTCGGGCATGGGGCTCGTGCTTGGAGGACAGGGTCTAGTTGTCCTCACTGGACACGCAGACGCATCTTGGGTTGACGACTTGGCTACGCAGCGGTCGCCAGAGGGTTACACTTTCAGCCTTGGCTCCGGCTCTGTTTCTTGGCGGTCTACCCGCTCATCTTCTGTTCTCAGCTCCAGTTGTGAGGCTGAGATCTACGCAGGGGCCATGGTTGCACAGGAGTTACGCTGGCTCACCTACCTGCTGACCGACTTGGGAGAGCGGCCTTGTTCTCCTTCAGTTCTGTAAGTAGACAACAAGGCCATGATTGCCTTGTGTCAGGAGCACAGACTGGAGCACAGGACGAAGCACAGCGCTCTGCATTACTTCCTTGCTTGAGAGTTGCAGTGGCGTGGTCAGCTTCGTCTTGCTTACGTGGCCACTCGGGCCAACACTGCTGATATATTCACCAAGGCACTTCAGTCTGGTGATCATCAGCGTTTCTGTACTGTTTTAGGCCTTGTGCCTACTTTGTTAGAGGGCCCTACGACAGCAAGGGCCCTCGCGAAGCGTTTGACTTGGCAGGTCGGCGACTGACGACCTAATGCCTCGGCACCGATCTCCGTGATGGTTGGAGAAGTGGTGGATTCGGTCTGAGGAGGCATGAGTCTTTGGGAGTTAGGTGTGTTTCTTTGAGAGTCACGCCACTCCTTGCAGTGTTGGGTGGAGTGGCGTGCACGGAGTACATTTTGCTGCTGAGTTGGATGGAAGTTTGGCGGGGCGCGTTCACCTACCCGCACACCACTTTCGTGGGGTTGGGTTACACAGAAGCGCCACGCAACATTTGTTCAACTCTTGCTTGCCTATATGTGCATGTGTGTTTGCTTTTGTATTCATGGATCAGATTACTTTTCTTGTGAAGTCCAATTGCTACTTGAATTCTCACTAAGTCCTTGGAGACGAACGCTACTTAAACGCTACTGAGTTGCTGGCGCAACACCATTCTCATATCAGAAACTCTCTCGCCATCGCTACGCTCTCCATAGTATTCCTTCATGGTGCGGTGAGCGTGGAACGAACACGCATAGCTTTCCGTCGACGTTCGTTAGTATACTCGCTTGGCATGCGGTGTTAATGAAGGGCGCTAATTAATTTAAGTTGAACCTCTCTTAATTTCCCTCCAGTTACGCTCTCGGACCCAAGGATAGGGCGTTTGGTAATTCATTACCACTCGTCTGAGGACCCTTGTGAGGTGACCCCGAGACGAGGGATTTAAGGAAGGGACAATTTATTTTAATTTGTGGTACCTTATAGAGACGTCGTAGAGGATGAGTACGGAGGAGGCGAACGTTGAGGCCGGCAATATTCGCGCATTAGAGGAGGATCTTGTAGCCCGCCATTCTTGTGGTGAGCTTAGTGATATCGAGTACGAGCTCATGCAGGAGGGATTACGCGCTCGTCGGCGTCGCGATCATCCATCGCCACGTGTAGAGAATGTTGAGCAAGCTGCGGGAGGTACTAGTGCGTGGGATATGGCTGTCGATGGCGGAAATAGCGATGACGAGGAGCTTGATGGGTTGATGTCACGTGGGGTCCTACGAGGACCGACTCGGTTTAGTACGGCTAGCGTCGGCGGTGTACAGGAGCGTGTTCATCGAGCGGCGGCGTCACGAGAGCGTGCGAATGTAGGACGGCGGAGCCTTGCTGGAGGAGGGAATGCGGAGGAGTACGATAGTGAGGCTATGCCGGGCGTTACCCCAATTGGATCGATGACGAGGGACAAGGGAATAGCCCCCAACTATGGTTTCTTCAAATTCACTCCAGACAAGATCGTCGTACCTAGGCCATTAGAAGGACGTCACGACCTGTCGACGTGGGTAGAATCTATCGAGCCTCAGCTTGAGATCGCCCAACTTAAGCGATTCATCGACGGTACCACACCTGCTCCCCCAGCGCATGCAGTTGCGCTTGTCACACAATTTCACGCAATGCAGTTACTGACATTCACCACGATTTCCCAATGCTCCTCCTCAACCGTACAGATCGCCCTTAAGGCGTGTCGCATGAAGGTAGATGCCGGCTTTCAGGCATGGCAGTTTATTATGCGCACGTATATGGCAAAGGACGACCTGTACATAGGTCAGTTAGAGAAGGCGCTCACTAACCTCGAGATGGGAGAGCACGAGTCCGCCACGTCCTATTGCAATCGTGCGCAGCAGATCCTAGTGAACCTGAGGATGGCTGGCGTAGATTACTCACAGGCGTCGTACATTACTCACGTTGTGAAGGGGTTGCCGCAGCTGTACAACCTCTTACGTAGGATGCTGAAATTGCCGCAGGTGCGCAAGGAGCTGGACGAGGACACCCTCGCTAGCTACATTATCGAGGAAGAGTGTACGTTGGCGGCAGAGGGACGAAAGGACCAATTTCTTCCCCAGGCGAACCAAGTGTTTACCAAGAAGGCTAAGCCCTATTTTCAGCAGACTGCATCCCCTTCCCCTCCCACTACGGCACAGCAGCAGCAGCCTAAGCATGGGGGTGGGGTTAGTGAGGGATGGGAGAAGTGGAAAGGGGCTAAGGATGGCCAGTCAAAGGGGGGGAAAGGAGAGTTTAAGGGGAATTGCTACGTGTGTGGGCAGCCGGGGCATATCGCTAAGTACTGTCGGCAGCGGGCGGATAAAGAGGCAGACAAGGGTGGAGAGGGTTCTGGAGGCAGCAGCGCAAGTGGAAAGGGGGGTGATGGTTCTAAGGGGAGCGGGCAGTCATCATGTGCGATGGTGAAGCCCGTTATAGAGCATCCTCCTCCCGTCATGCTGGAGCCTGAGGCCGGGGAGGGCTTACAGGCTGTTGCAGCTGCTGTAAAGGCGAACCCGAGCGTCGTGCTACTTGATAGCGGATGCTCCCACCATCTTATGGGAGATCGCTCTGCCTTTGTGGAGATGAGCAGCAGGGGCGGTATCAAACATGTTATCGGCTTCAACGGCGCTCCTCAGGAGGTGCAGGGGCGAGGCACAGTCGCTCTCCTTGGAGACGGGGGCAGGCGTCTCTTGGTGCCGGACGTGCTGTACGTACCTGGAGTGCAGGCGAGTCTTCTTTCTGTTGGGCAGCTGCGTGATAGTGGCGTGCAGTTGCTGGATGCCGGGGACGTGACTCTGCTGCGCGCGCCAGATGGGTCGCTCCTTGGTCGTGCGGAGTTCAAGGGACGTGTCCTCCGCACGAACTTCCAGCCATGCTCGACGCAGCAGCAGGAGGGTGAAACGGTGGCCCTGCGCACTTTGGCGACGGGCGTGCGATCTAAGGTGGACACGTGGCATGCGCGCCTCGCACACGTCGATGTTGACGCCATAGAGCGTACTGCGGCTCATGGGTCAGTGACGGGCTTGGAGTTGGAGAAGGGGGGCAAGTCAGGCATGCCATGCGTCTCTTGTGTTGGGGGAAAGATCACCCGTCATACTTTTCCTTCTGTGGGAGAGGAGGAGGATGAGCTGCTTGGAGTGGTGCATGCTGACCTGTGTGGCCCTTTTCGTGAAGCAGCTAAGGACGGCAGCCGCTAATTTTTGGTGCTGAAGGATCGCAAGACGCGGTACGTCTGGGCCTACCCTTTGGCCAAGAAGAGTGATGCACTGGCGGCATTCCAGAAGTGGCTCCCGATGGCAGAGCGGCAGTGTAAGACCACAGTGAAGGCGCTGCGCACTGATCGGGGTGGCGAGTTCCTGGGACATGACTTCACGCTCTTCCTTGATGAGAAGGGGATCATCCACGACCTCACGTGCCCGTACACGCCGGATCAGAACGGGATGGCTGAGAGGGAGATGCGCAGCATTGTGGAGGCAGTGCGGACAATGTTGCTACACATGGGTGTGCAGCATCACTGGTGGCACCTGGCGCTGTCACAGGCCGTTTGGGTGCGCAACCGCGTGGAGCACGCCTCGCTGCCCTCTGGTGTGACGCCATACGAGCTCGCCTTCCGACGCAAACCCGATGTCAGTATGGTGCGTGTTTGGGGCTGCATGCTGCAGTATATGGTGCCGCAGTCGCAGCGCGGGGGGAAGCTGGCGCCTAAGGCTCGCTGGGGGTTGCACTTGGGGGTGTCAGCAGCGAGCAAGGGCTGGCAAGTGCTGGACTTGGAGTCCAACCGCCTCATCACCACTGTGGAAGCAGTTTTCTATGAGACCATGTCCTTGGCAGGATGGAAGGCTTGGCATCAGCAGGAGCATGGGGGGCGTCCGATGCCCTATGCGCCCCTTCCTTCACTCTTCTCAGGCACTCTTGAGGAGGAGGTGGAGGAGGAGGAAGTGGTCACACCTCCTAATATGCCCTATGTCCCTACCTCAGTCCCCACCCCACCTCCTACAGTGTACCCTCGTGTGGTTCCTCCTACCGTGCCTCCTCCATCCTCACCCCCCTTGGCTACCCCTCCTCCTGTTATTCCCTCTCCTCTTCCACCCTCCATCCTTCCTGCACCTGCCCCACCCTCCTCTTCGTCTTCCACTGCGCCGCCCGTTGGTGAGGGGGGGACAGTGGTGTCGCCGTCTGTGATGATCACCGACGGGCAGCGCCTTGTGACTAAGCAGCTGCAGGACGAGAACAGCATGGATGGAGTGCAGCAGAGTGGGGGACAAGAGACAGGGGAGCAGCAGACAGGGGAGCAGCAGATTGGGGAGCAGCAGATAGGGGAGGAGCAGATAGGGGAGGAGCAGATTGGGGAGCAGCAGACAGGGGAGCCGCAGACAGGGGAGCAAGAGATGTGGGGAATTAGAGATGGTGGTCGTGTGCTGGTTTCTGGGACGATCACTGCACCGCCGCTGCGTCGCTCCACTCGCATCACTCGTGGTGTCCCGCCAGTTAAGTATGCTTGGGCAGTAGTGATTGAGCCGGCAGGTTTGGATGACGAGGAGGAGGACGAGGAGTGGACAGACCTGGACCCAGATGTGGTAGCCGACCCTGAGAGGCAGTGGGATATAGCTAAGATGACAGTGAAGGAGGCCTTGGGATGCTGGAAGGGCGACAAGGTGAAGGAGGCGATGGACGAGGAGATGCGGAGCTTGATTGAGCAGGGGACGTGGGAGTTGGTTCCGCGTCCTCCAGGGGTGAATGTGATGAAGAACCGTTGGATTTTGAACACCAAGTTCCGACCGGATGGAATAGTGGAGCGTGAGAAGGCGAGGCTGGTGGTGAAGGGGTTCACGCAGGTGGCAGGGGTGGACTATGAAGAGACGTACACCCCTGTGGGAAGCTATGTGACGACGCGTGTGCTTGTGGCGATCGCAGCTGCACTCGATTTAGACCTGATGCAGCTGGATGTGAAGAACGCGTTCCTCCATGGCGTGCTGGACCGAGACCTTTATATGGAGCAGCCGAGCTACTACGAGGATGGGAGTCCTCGTGTCTGTAAGTTGGTGAAGAGTCTGTATGGGCTCAAGCAGAGCCCGATGTTGTGGTATGAGGCCTTGGATGGGGTGCTGCTTGGGGCTGGATGGAAGAAGAGCCAAGTGGATGAGGCTCTCTACTTCAAGAGTGATGCTGAGGGAGAGATGTGCTGGCTGCTGGTGTATGTGGATGATTTGCTTGCTGCCAGTCGCAGTCAGAGCATGCTAGGGGAGCTGCGTGACCTCTTGCAGAGTGCCTTTCAGCTGCGGGAGATTAGCCCTGTGGAGAAGTATCTGGGGTTGCAGCTGGTTCGGGACAGGCCTACGAGGAGGCTGTGGCTGCACCAGGGGGCCTATGTGGACAAGGTCCATAGGCGCTTCTTTGACGGGGAGCAGCCGCTGCGAGTGCCTCGCACCCCTCTTTCCTCTGACCCTTTCAGTGTGCAGACCTTCGAGGATGTGGGATGGCAGTCTTGCCAGGAGGAGGAGTACAGGCAGAAGGTGGGATCCTTGCAGTTCGCGGCCTGTACCACCCGTCCCGACATCTCGTTCGCCTGCAGCAAGTTGGGGTCGGGCCAGACTGTGCGGAGTGATCAGCATTGGAAGGAGTTGGACCGGTGCTTGGCGTACTTGGTGGGGAGCAAGGATGTGGCGCTGGAGTTTGGTGGTGGGCCGGAATCCTTGGAGCTGGTGGGCTACGCCGATGCTGATGATGCAGGGGACAAGCAGAACAGGACCAGCACTGGTGGCTATGTCTTCGTGCTCGGAGGCGCTGCTGTCTCTTGGGCGAGCCAGAGGATTCGTTGCGCCACCCTCTCCTCCACTGAGTCTGAGTACGTTGCTGCTGTGGAGGCTGGGAAGGAGGCACGCAGGTTGCGCTTCTTGCTGGCAGAGTTTCAACTACTAAGGAGTGAGGAGCCCACTACCCTCTTTGTGGACAACTCTTCCGCCATTTCAGTGGCAGGTGGCTTGGGGCTCAAGGGGAGCCTTAAGCACATGGAGCGTCGCCACATGTGGCTGCAGCACATGGTCAAGCGCAGGAAGCTGCAGCTGCAGTACATCCCTACGAGCGAGCAGCCGGCTGACTACCTTACCAAGGCGTTGCATTTCCCCGCCTTTAGCCATTGCTTCGAGGCTGTGGGGAAGGTGAGGCTCTCGAGCGAGGGGAGTGAGACCTAGACACTCCATGATGGGGATGGTGCCATGGCCTATCCATGGCTGGTGCGGTGCGTGTTTGCACTTTGAGAGTGCTTCGTTTGTATGCGTGTATGCATGCCCTGTGACTGTAAAGGGCCTTGCTGTAGTATGGCAGGGGAGTGTTAGAGGGCCCTACGACAGCAAGGGCCCTAGCGTTTGACTTGGCAGGTCGGCGACTGACGACCTAATGCCTCGGCACCGATCTCCGTGATGGTTGGAGAAGTGGTGGATTCGATCTGAGGAGGCATGAGTCTTTAGGAGTTAGGTGTGTTTCTTTGAGAGTCACGCCACTCCTTGCAGTGTTGGGTGGAGTGGCGTGCACGGAGTACATTTTGCTGCTGAGTTGGATGGAAGTTTGGCGGGGCGCGTTCACCCACCCGCACACCACTTACCTGGGGTTGGGTTACACCGAAGCGCCACGCAACATTTGTGCAACTCTTGCTTGCCTATATTTGCATGTGTGTTTGCTTTTGTATTTATGGATCAGATTACTTTTCTTGTGAAGTCCAATTGCTACTTGAATTCTCACTAAGTCCTTGGAGACGAACGCTACTTAAACGCTACTGAGTTGCTGGCGCAACACCATTCTCATATCAGAAACTCTCTCGCCATCGCTATGCTCTCCATAGTATTCCTTCATACTTGGCCTCACTTGCTCACTTCTTGACTATGCTTGTACTGTTATCTATTTACTTATATCACTCATATCTATGCATGCTTACACTTGCTAGGTTTTGATCACTGTACTGCTTGTTCTCCATCATATTACTCTGCATGTGAACTGGCCTTGTGGCCATTTGCTTGTGCTCGGATTGTGTGGTGACTTCGTGATTCACCCTGAGCTTGATTTGTCTTTCTTGACTGGTCTTGTGACCTTTTGCTCTCCCCCACTTTGCCTATGGGGGTGTGTTAAACTTATATGTTGCATGTTGTGTAGGCTGTAGTGGGGTAGCCCATATGGGGTACAACCCAAATTAGGGTTAGTACTTCTACTCATCCTCCTGCTAGTTCATCCATTCTCGCTTACACTTTCTGACATTCCGAACACGCTACGGATCCTTCAAATACACCGTCATGTCCTTCGGACTGACCAACGCCCCTGTAACCTTTCAAATGACCATGAACGAAGCCTTCCGCCCGCTTTTAGATAAGTGCATCATCGTGTACTCGACGACATACTGATTTACAGCCCAGACAGAGCACAGCACCTACAGGACAGTGAAGCAGTTTTGAAAATACTGAGTGAGAACCGCCTGCTGACGAAAGCATCTATGTGTGAATTTTTACAGGACAGACTGGAGTTTTTGGGACACATTATTTCAGCTGAAGGAGTGGAAATAGACCCGAAGAAGATCGCGACGATTCAAGCGTGGCACGCGTAGACAAACTTGACCGAGTTGCAGAGCTTTTTGGGGTTCGTCAACTACGTTCGCCGGTTCGTCCCCGACATGGCGAAGTTGACTGCTCCGTTGACCGACCTGCTGAGGAAGGGGGTTGAGTACACATGGGGGGAGAAAGAGCAAGCTGCCTTCTCGGCCCTCAAACAAATTTTGTGCTCGCCGCCCGTGCTTCACATCGCAGATCCGCACCGGTCGTTCGAGCTCGTCACCGACGTAAGTGACATCGCCGTGGGAGCTGTACTGTTGCAGGACTTCGGGAACGGCCTCCAGCCAATCGCGCACGAGTCCCGCAAGATGCACCCGCCCGAACGCAACTACCCGATACACGACCGCGAAATGCTGGCGATCGTGCACGCGTTCAAAGTGTGGCGATGCTACCTGACTCGCGCCGACGTGACAGTACGGACAGATCACCGATCACTACAGTACCTCCGCGCCCAACCGAATCTCAACCCGCGACAGGTCCGCTGGTTGGACTATCTGGAGTCCAACTTCCACTAGACAGTCACGTACAAAAAAGGCGCATCAAACATCGCCGACGCACTCACACGTCCTACCGCCCAACTCCACGCCATCCTACTTGCCCAAACCAACCCACTATTAATAGGCCTATTCACCTACGGATACACTACCGACCCATTTTTCACGACCGGAAATTCACAGCAACTGGCAGAAGCTAAGGGAGTCTATTACGTAAAAACAGGCACCAACCGCACTTGGGTACCCGCGTACTCACTACTGAGGGAACTATTACTGCAGGAGGCACACGACGGGATTACCTCGGGCCACTTTGGGGTAGAAAAAGCTCGACAGCAACTGCAGCGGTATTACTACTGGCCGGAGATGTTGACCGACGTACAACACCACGTGGGCTCGTGTCCTACGTGTCAGATGATGAAGAGCTCGCGAAAGATAAAGGCGGGTCAATTGCAGCCGATTCCACCGCCCGAGCGCGCCTGGCAGCAAGTTACTATGGATTTCGTCACGCGGTCATCTTCGAACCCTGGGGGTAACGACGCGGTTATGGTCGTCGTTGACAGACTTGCGAAAATGGCTCACTTCGCTGCATGCAAGAAATCGATCCCAGCCGAAGAAACCGCTCGCCTGTTCATCGCAGCCGTCGTTCGACTGCACGGGATACCAGCCGCGATAATCAGCGACCGCGACACGAAGTTTACTAGCAACTTCTGGAAGAACCTATGGGAGCAGTTCGGGATCAGGCTACAGTTCAGTTCATCGTACCACCCCGAGACCGACGGTCAAACGGAGCGGACCAATCAGACGATGTAACAGTTGATTCGGGCCACGTGCGACGACCCGACAACTTGGGAGCAGCAGCTGCCGCTGATCGAGTTCGCCTACAACAACGCCACGTCAGCGACGACGCAGCAGTCCCCGTTTTACCTGAACTACGGGCAAAACCCAACAGTGCCCATGACGCCGAGTCCGGACAACCCAACGCCACGAGCACAGCAATTCGCCGAGATTCTGCAAGCTGCCAGCACTAGAGCCGCAGAAGCAATTAAAAAAGGTCAACGTCATCGCTAAACGCAACGCTGACCGCCACCGCCGCCCAGTCACGTACCAGCCTGGGGATTACGTACTGCTCGACACACATAACTTAAGACTGCCCGTCGTACCAAAATTCCGACCGCGCTAGTGTGGACCATTTCAAATCAACCACATGATCACCCCAGTTACCGCCCACTTACTATTGCCGACAGACTGGTACAGCAGCCAATCATTCCACGTTAGCCTGCTTCTCCCTTACATCCCAAGCACGAGCCAACTGCCTCGTCACCGCCCGCCATCCATGACTCGCCCTGCATCGGAGCCGATCATCGAGCCCGAAAAAAATATGAGCCATTGGATTCGCCACCTCG